ATATTTTAAGTTATTATTTTAAGTAATTATTATAAGCATATTTTATTTTTTTATAAATGCATTTATTTTGAATTGTAAAATTTATTTTTGCATTATTTGGTAATATTGTGTAATTATTAAATAAAATAAATTTGTTTTCTTTATTTTTGATTGTTTTTATTTTTTTTTTCTTTAAAGATATTTACGGACCGAAAACGGTCTGCATATAGTTTGAGAATGACGCTGGTTAGGAGAGAAACTTTTAAAAGTTACAGGCAAGTCCAACATATTCAGACCGAAAACAGTCTGGATATGGTTTGAGAATGACGCTGGTTGGGAGAGAAACTTTTAAAAGTTACAAGCTAGTCCAACATATTCAGATCGAAAACGGTCTGTATATAGTTTGAGAATGGCGCCGGTTGGGGGAGGAACTTTTAAAAGTTATAAGCAAGTCCAATCTATTCAGACCGAAACCGGTGTGGATATATTTTCAGAATGGAGCCAGTTGGGACAGTAATTTTTTAAAGTTACAAAAAAGTCGAACATATTCGGACCGAAAACGATCTGGATATAGTTTGAGAATGTCACCAGTAGAGCGAAGAACTTTTGAAAGTTACAAATAAGTCTAAACATTTCCGACAGAAAACGGTCTGTACATAGTTTCCGAAGCGGACAGATTGAGGCCGCAAGTTTTAAAAGTTGCTGCTGGGTCCTCCGTATTCGGACCGATACCGGTCCGAATATAGTTGGTATGCCTCTTTCCGCCACATTTTTAGACCGTTTTTGGTTCGTACATATTTTTTTATTTTATTATATTATTTTTTTGGGACCAATTTCGGTCCGCTTATTTCAATTTTTAAATAACCATTTATATTTTTTTACTGAAATATCCAAACCGATTTTGTGTCGGTCTGTATATTATATTTTTTCGTACCAGGTTTTTTCAGATCAACTATAGGGACCAATATCGGTCCGGATATATATATCCGGACCGAGTTTTCACATATTCGGATCAAAAGTTCGATCTGAATATATGATTCCTGTAGTAGTGTCTAGTTCAATAATGTTGTGATAATGCTGGTGTTTAATGGGAGATAACATTGATTGGAATAGATTCTCAAGTTGATTTCTCTCTATTTTATAAAGTAATTGGGTTTAAATCTACAACACTAATCCTCCTCTTAAATTATAGAAATTGCAGAGGTGATCTAGTTCAAGTAGCTTTCAAAACTTACAAAAGTACTTCGGAACTTTTGTTTTACAAGTAAAATAGTTTATCTTTTATTCTTGAGGTTGATTTATATTAATTTGTTGAGCTTTTCTCTTCTTCTTGAAGTTGATTTATGTTAGTCTGTTGAGTTTTTCACTTATTTTTTAGGTTGAGACTAGATTTTACAGATTTTATAGTAAATTCAATTTATGGCAATAACAGGTAATTGAGTTCAGCTTATAATATATTATTATTCAATAACATTTTTGTGTGTCTAAAGAATATATTTTAATGTTATTGCTTTGAGTTAACCTTGTTCTTCAACTTTGTAGGCAATATTTAGAGGGACCATGTCACGCCCCAGAACCCAAATCTGGAGACGCGACAGACGCCGTGCACTCGTGAGACGGGTCCCACGAATGCACAAAGCTCGAAACTTATCCAATTCACAATCTGATACAACCAAATCTCAAGATAAAATTTTTACAATCTGCTCTGACATCATAAAATCTTCAAATACACTCTAGTTTACAAGATCATAATCTGTATCTAAAATCTATATCAAATTCCAGGTGACTAGCCTTCTATCTCGTCACTCCCCTCGATTTCCCCCGTCCTTGGTTTCGCTTCCTGAAATGGTGGACAAGAAAAACTATGAGATAAACTCAGTAAGTAAATATGGATAGCCCTTGGGTAAAACTTTGAAGCATGCCAGATAAACCATGTAAGCGTAACAGACTTTTAATTATAAACCATTAATGCGGAAATCAGATTCAGTTCAATAACAAAACGTTTCATGACAAACCGTTACATGCAGAAGAAAACTCAGTTCAATAGTCTCATCTATAAGTCATGGCCAGTATTTACAAACTCCCACTGGCAGGCGTCAGTAATGGTACCAATGTTTACAAACTCCCATTGGTAGGCGTCAGTAATAGTGCCAGTGTTTACAACTCCCACTGGTAGGCGTCAGTAATAGTGCCAATGTTTAACCCCATCGGCAGGGTTTCAGGAGTACCAGTGTTTACAAACTCCCACTGGCAGGCGTCAGTAATAGTGCCAATGTTTAACCCCATCGGCAAGGTGAACCGGTTCCACAGAAATACATGTCGACATGTGCTAGCGTTTACAGCTCCCACTAGCGAGCGTCAGTAATCATGACTATATCCGAGACAAAACCATGCAGGATTTACAGAAAAACCCCAATTTCACAATCAATCCCAAATTTCAGAACAAACCGGAAATTTCCATGTGACCATGGATTTAACAGAAAACTCAGAATTTGCAAACTCTCAGTTCATCAAAACAGTTCAGTCAATTTCTAAATAGGCATGCTCAACTCCCGAAAAACAATGAAACTCTCATTTTCATTTCAATCATGTTCAATTCCAGAAAATCAATAAAATCCTCATTTTCGTTCCAATCATGCTCAATTTCAGAAAAACAAGGAAATTTCCCATAAAACCCATCACAATTTGCATTCCAGTTTAATCACACTCAAATGCCGATAAAATCAATTTAAAGCTTGCCACCATCTCAAAAACAGTTTAAAACATGCTTTAAAATCAAAGGGCTTTACCATAACTTACTTACCTCACTCGCACAGAACAGAAGGCTAACCCAAGTGCTACGGTGACAGAACGATCAAAACCTAATCACAATATTCCACAATTAATAACCATACCACCACAAATTCAAAGTAAAATCATCATCGGGACTACCCCTAATCTCGATGCTATTTCTATCAATCTCCACATAACCTGACATCTCCAAACTTATTCTTATATCACAAACTAATCCTTTAAATCCCCGCTAATCGTTGACCCTTGGTGTGTGAACAGTGCCTATGAACAGTACCCTATGAACAATACCCCGTGAACAGTGATCCGCAGTGAACAGTGACGGTAACCTCAAAATTTTGGGCAAAACACTAGCTAATTTCACGGATTTTCTCTCCAAAAATCACAACCCAATTCAAGCTAATTTTCTACGTTAAGCAAGCTTAAAACCCATGTTTTAAAGCTGCCAAAACTCCTCCATTTCAACAGGAAACTTTCAACGGACCAAATGGAGAAACCGAGCTTGGCAAAACAGCACTAAAGCCCGGCTATGCATACAGAACATCACAGCAATTAATCAAGCTAATTCCCACATAGTTTAAACAACAAAACACATTTAAAGGGTTGCTAAATGCTACCGGAATTTATCCCCTTTTCCGGCACAATTTGGACACACACAAGGCAACAATTACATGGATAAATTGGACTTGGAAGAGCCGGCAACTTACCAGAATTCCAGCAAGCAAACCGTAGCTGGCAGGGAGAAGAAGCCGACGGCAATTTGGGGGAAATTCTGCAGGAACTCACGGGATTTACCCAAAATTAAAGGAACCCAACTTAATCAAAGCTAAAAGGATGAAATCATGGCTGTTTCTTACCAGAAAAGCCGAGAATTCACACCCACACAAGCAGAGGCCGACGGACAAAGGGAAGAAGACAGCGCAGATCTGGAATTTCCAGCAAAGAGGGGGAATTTCTGGGTTTACTAGGTGTTCTAAGACAAGAAAATAGGGAGAAATCCCCAAGCTTTGCCGGATTTCCGGCCGGAAAAATGGGTGGCGGTGGCTGGGGGGTTCGTCGGCTGCAGAGGGTCGGGGGAGAGGAAGAGCAGGGCATGCGGGTCTGATGGGGAAGGAAAGAAAGAAGAAAAAGAAAGAAAAAAAGAAAAGAAAAAGCAATTCATCCTTATCCTAATTTCCTTTCTTTTTAGTCCCTAAACTTTTAAATATTTTACAATTAAGCCCCAAAACAATATTTTTCCTCAAATAAGTCCCCAATCAAATGCTAAAATACCCCAAAATTTTGGGATATTACAGACCATGAAAGGCAATTTGATTGTAAATTGTCCTTTACTTCCTCCAAGGGAATACTAAAACATTACTTACTATGCAAAGATGTTTGAAAAGAGGAAGCTCTTTCTTTCTTGCTCTGCCAAATTTTTAACCAATTTTAACATTCCAATTGAAGAGAGTACCATATATCATGGTGACTTTTCTATCTACAAAGCTGCATATATTTGGGTATCCACATGAATTGATTACTAAAATCCTACTTTGTTAATGGACCTACTTGGTTAATGAATATAGTTGATAATCATTCTAGATGCTACTTTGTTCCTTTATATTTTATAGTGAAAGTCTTTCATGATAAATCCATCCTTATAGAAAGGAGGTCATTGTTCCTTTTCTTTTGTTTTAATCCAATTCGTTTGTCTTAAAATAATTTAAATAATGCTTCAAAAGACTAAAATTATTAACTTTAATCTTATTAAATCTAAATAATTATTAGAAAACGATATAATTTAATAGGAAAAATTCAATTTAAAATGTATAGCATTTTAATATATCTAAACTATATATTTAAAATTTATTTTTTTATTGAATCCAAATAATATATTTTAAAATACATATGTTTTAAATATATATTTTAAATATATGCATTTTTTTTTGAATAATCAAATATATGAATTTAAAATACACATTTCAAATATAAATACATGTACCCAAAAGGCAACCGTTGAGTGATTTGGCAACAGTGAAGAAAAATGGAAAAAAATCAAATGGGAAATTAAAGCATGATAAAAAAAAAAAAAGAGAGAGAGAGAGAAAGAGAGAGAGAGAAAAGAGTAAGGGAATTTGGTGGTAGACGGAGGGAAGATTTTTATGGGTTAGCATCAACTCCAAACATGGCAGCTCTGTTGGAGTGGCTGTGTGTCACGTCCCAGAACCCAAATCCGAGGACGTGGCAAACGCCGTGCACTTGTGAGGGGGTCCCACAAATGCACAAGGCTTGGAACTAACTAAGTTCATATCACTAACTCAGATTTAGAAACTCAGGTAATATATAATTTCTTTTCCTTTCCAACTATTTACTTGTCAAAATGTACAAGGATTTATAACTTCATTTACACAGTCGTGACTATAACTAAGGGAGTTCTGT